CTTTTTCTTATCAGACTAGGCCAAGGTAGGAACCATTTCTGGGAACTTAAGTCACTAAGCAGATATACATGGTGGAAAGGAATGCCCTGCTATTATGAAACACCCAAGAGTTCAGTTGGGGGATCCTAGAAATTCATCATCAACATTAAGATAACTGTATAGTCTCTGAACTGTAAACCTATTCTTTTGGGCCACTATTTGTATTTCATCTGACTTTTGTGTTAGAAACCCCATAGTTTGCTAGGAGTAGGAATAGCCTTGATGTGTCTGGCCTGTAGTGGTATGCTGCCCAAGGAGAGCAGGGTAGGGTTCAGTGGCAACAAAGCAGATAGTGTGGCAGGGGAAAATTCTGGGGTGGCCAAACAAACAAACAAACAAACAAAAAATCAAACGTACTGCCCTTAGTCCATTCTGACTCATAGTGACCCTTTAGAACAGGGTAGAACTGCCCCTGTGGGTTTCTGAGACTGTATTTTTTCGGGAGTAGAAAGCCTCCTTGCTTCCCCGTGGAACAGCTGGCAGTTTCATTGTTGTAGGGAACTGTGATGACTGGAAGGTTGGAGCCAGGGAGCTACTAAGGATAACCAGTTCCAGAGAGCTGACTCAGAGTCATGGTGAACTCAGGTGTCTCAGAGTGGGGCTGTGCATTGTGGGGTTTTCAGTGGCTTGATTTGCAGATATAGATTACCAGAGCTTTCTTCAGAGTCCCCTCTCTAGGTGAACTGACATCTCCAACCTTTTGATTCGCAGGCCCGTGTGTTAGCTGTTTATACCACCCAGGGACTCCCATTAAGCACATTTCCATTTACCAGTAATTACTTTATTTTTCATGTCATTTATTTCTTGCTGTGCTCAAGGTATTGTTTTAAGTACTTTTTGTTAAACAACTATTAATAATTTTGATGGAGTGAAAAGAGATCGATGCAAACAACTATACCCCAAAGCAGCATTTGATATGTTCCTAAAGAGTAGTCCGAATTTTCGGTATAAGAAACTCAGGACTGATGAAACTATAAAGACAACAAGTGGAATAAGGGCTCCTTGGGGATTCAGTTGTGGAGGGTGGGGGTAAGGGGGAGATGATATCAAGGAATTCAAGAAGGAAGATAATGTTTTTAAACTGATTGTGGTAGCAATTGTACAATAATGCTCAATGCGACTGAACTAGGGAATGATAGGATCTCAGTATTACCTGTCAATTAAAAGGGTTTTTTTTGGGGGGGAAAAAAGTATGGACCAGCAGGACCTCTTTCATAGACAAGCACAGAGAGGGAAGCAGTTGCTTCAGGTCAAGGGTCTTGGTGCTCTGGCTGAAGTTGAAAGCAAGGGCAGGGTTTATATTTACAGGGTACTGGGTAGAGCGGGAGGAGGATGTCTTTGGGAGACTGGAAAGAGCCTGAAGCCTGAAGTCTAGACTTATTAGCTGGGATGCAATGATGGATGGTGATTTTAGTCCTTTCGGTTTAGAGCTTTAAAATTTAGGTTGTGAGGAGGGCCTAGAGATATTTTGTGGTATTTAGAACACAAAAGTGATAAGCAGGGTTCTTAAGAAATTATGCTCGGCAGAGACTATCGATCCAAATAGGGGAGATAGGACAGAGAGTGGAAAGAGAAAGCAGGGGCGCAGCTACCAAACGGTGTCTGCCAAAGCCCAGGCACAAGACAGGTGGTTTGGCGAAGGGTGCTGGCATTTTTTTTTCACTTTTGTTTGATCAGTTCTTTCTAGGACTGGCCCAGGGAGGATTTTTATTTCATTTTTCTTCTATGAGATTTTGTTTTGAATCTGGAACTTTAGAAAAGTGCACATAGGATACCCCCACCCACCCCATACCCACCCCCAAGGGGGATGAACCACAGAAACGTGGGTGAAGGGAGACAGAAACGTGGGTGAAGTGGTTGGTGGAAGATATGAAAACAACAATAATTTATAATTTATCAAGGGGTCATAAGAGTAGGGAAGAGAGAGGGAAAAAAGAGGAGTTGATACCAAGGGCTGGCCACATATATACAAATATGCTTGATAAAATTTATACATGGAATGTTATAAGAGCTGTAAGAACCCCAACAAAATGATTTGGGGGGAAAAAGAGAAGTGCACATAGTAAATATGTATCTTCAGGACAGTTCTCTCTCTCTCTCTTCTTTAGTATTCTTTATTCATTGTCCAGCACTCCAGTATATATAACTCACTGCCATCAAGTCAATGCTGGCTCATAGCGACCCCCTGTGGGTTTCTGAGACTGTAACTGTTGACAGGAGTAGAACACCCAGTCTTTCTTTCAGGACATTTCTTAATGAGCTCTTCTAATAGGAGTATCTCATTAGGAGTATTTGAACTCCTTGATTTCAGGATTCTATCTTCATCATCTCTTTCTCCTGCAGGGTGCACAGCTCAGTGTCCAGTTAAATATCTGTGACTCAGCGACAGTGTACTCAGAAACAGAGTGAGGTGACAGGAACACATGGGTCTGTCCTATTTGCATGAGGTGCTCAAGATGATAAAGGCGGACATGGCCTTTTTAATGTGTGTTCCCTGTGGTAAGTGCTTACTTTTAGAGACATATCTGTTTATGTGGGCCACTCTATTCAATCACTGTTGGGTCAGAGGACAGGTACATTTTAATGAGAAGGAGCTGGGAGCTGGACATCTTCCTTTGGAGTGGTCAGTTGATGAATGAAGAATGAGGGTTAGCTAGTATTCTTTCTTGTCACAAAGGCAGGGAATGAACAGGTGCCAAATGACTTCTAGGAAGTTGTCAAGTATCAGCCAAACCTAGAGGTCCTTCGAATCCTATTATGGATTGAATTGTGCCTCTTCCACCCAAAATATGGGTTGAAATCCAACCACTATACCTGAGAATGTAACGTGATGTGATACCGTGTAATTAATATCCATAATGCCATTTAATGTAATCAGTTCATAAGTTGAATCATACCAGTATCAAGAAATCAATCAATCAAACCCACTGCCATCTAGTCAATTCTAACTCATGGTGACCCCCTAAGGCAGGGTAGAACTGCCCCAGTGGGTTTCCAAGACTGTAACTCTTTATGGGAATAGAAAGCCCCATCTCTTTCCTGAGGAGCATCTCATGGTTCTGAACTGTAGGCCTTGCGGACTGCAGTCCAATGTGTAACCACTACATCACTAGGGTTGTAAGATCCTACGTTATAAAAGAGCGTATTAAACACAGAGACACACACATACGACAGAAGTCATATGAGTAGCACCAAAAAACAAGGAATGCCCAGGTCTATTGACAAGGAAAAACTCAATAAAGCTGAGACTCTGATTTGAGCTTTTAGCCTCCTGAACTGCAAGAGAATAAATACATTTCTGTTCTTTGAAGTCACCTATTTGTGGTATTTTTGTTACATCATCACCAGGAAACTAGGACAAAGGGTATATTCTGAGAATGACAATGGTTTGAATAAATCATGCTTCCACTTGATGGGGAATTGGAAGGCAATGCATTATTGGTGTGTGTAGCAGGGGGAGGGTTGCAGTGTGAGCTATAGCATGAACCATTATTAAAACATCCATGACAGGTTCCTTTCCATTTCCTTGCAGAAAGTAACAACAGGTACCAATATTACATGAACACTTTGAACTACTGGTTGGTATAATCCAAACATTACCAAACAGCTACCGTTTTTTACAATCCTGCGTGTTAAGTAGAGAGCAGATTAACTTGTCAGGCAGTTCTGAAAGAGGAGGATCGTAAAGAGTTTGTGGTCTGGCACAGCTGTTGAGTGAATGACATTTGTTAAAAACACCACCCAGCCTCCCTTTGGCCCACTTCCAAGGAAATGATGCTTAAATCTCACATTAGAAATTTACTCTGCAATTTAATCATAAAATCCAAATTATGGTTTCATGACACCAGAATTATCAACAGAAACAGCAATGGCTTAAATTCAATTAACTAGAAAGTCTTCACTTCTTTTATTGCATAATTTGAACTCAACATTTACATAGCTGATGAAAAATATCCATTCATAGGATTTAATTAAAGGGGTACCTACTATATTATAGTCACCTGGGGTGCAGGCAGGGGTGATGTGAGGGATGTAGAAGCAGCCTAAACCAGGCTGGGTGGTTCACTGCGCTGCATGTCAGGCCACTGGCCATAGGGTCAGCAGTTGGAAGCTCCCAGCTCTAGGGAAGAAAGTGGAGGCTACTCCGCTCAGAAAGAGTTACACTTTTAGAACCCCCCAGGGGCAATTCTACTTGGTCCTATAGGGTACTATTGTGGAAATTGACTCCATAGACGTGAGTTTTGCTTGGGTTTTGAGTACAAATCATGGGCTGTATACTCAATATAATATGTTCATTCACGCAGAACTCACAAAATTGATTTCTATGCACTAACATACACATCAAAATATCATGAAATAAATGCTATCAGGGAGTGATGGAGACAGTTCCATGGAAGCACAGAAGGCAGAGCATTGGGAGAAGGTCAGAGGGCAAAGGACTGGCAAGGGTGAGTAAGGGTGGGGACGGGACTCGAAAGGAATTTTAAGGAAAAGAGAGAAATCTGACTAAGGATAAAGTTCAAAGCACAAAGCAGTTGGTTGAGCAGCAAATTAAATTTTCTGCTAATATGATTGATTACTAGATAAAAATGCACCTCAAAATGATAAGGATTCTTTAAAACAGGATTTGTGACAAGAGGGTGGGTCTTCAATTCAATAAACAAATTGTTGCTTCGCATCCACAATAAATTATTTTTTTTCCCTTCCCTCCCCACCCCCCATTTGACGTTGCTTAATCTCTGGGCATGCACAAAATAGACAAAGCAGCATCCTTTTAAAGAAGCTCAAAAAGGAATTATGAAAAAACCAAAACAAAACCAAAAACATATACTCTTTTGCTTGCCAGTGCATTTGTCAGTCTTCCAGTTACCAAAATCCCAAATAAAATACTCAAGCACAGTAGTTTGACTACGGCACGCAGATGCTATGGCTGCAGGCAGAGAAAGAACAGAGCTTCTTACTTGTCTCTGGGCTTGGATGGACTCTTTGCAGACTCTGGGAGGCTCCGCCAGGGGGGGCTGGTGTGTCTGCAACATAAAGAGAAGCAGCCATTTATGATTCCTGTAATGATGTGACCCCGTTACATGAGTGCTTCCAAGGTATAAATTTGACCTAGCCCCCTTTTCCAACATCCTTTTTAAAAAACAATCCACACTGTACCTGCTCTCTTAAAAGAAGAATAGATTACACAGCAAATACTTGGGGCCAATGGAAACCTCTGGGCTTAGTCACCTCTGGTCTTATGCCTAGATACGGTCAAGAACAGTGAAAAAATGTCTCCTCTCCCTATATTATTTGAGTCCAAATGAGCTTTGCTTAAATAAACAAAGAGAAACACAAGTTCTTTTCTCTAAACAGTACTAAAAGCTACTCAGTCAGAACCCAACATTCTTTTAAAAATAAACATGATCCCAATTCTACCTTACAAATCTGGCTAGACCAGAGGATGTACACTGGTACAGATGGGAGCTTGAAACATAGGGAGTCCAGGACAGATGATCCCTTCAGGACCAGTGGTATGAGTGGCAATACTGGGAGGGTGGAGGGAGGG